AAAAATGCACCCGCTCCACCATCCTCGTCTCCCGCCGTCGAGTTCAACGGTCGCTCGCTTGTATCCGAAGACAACGAGAGACGGGCCGTTGGTGTGGGGATTGCATGGGAAGCGATCCACCTACTTACCCTAATCCCCTCGAGCTCCTTCGCCACCTCACCCATCGGTGGCCTTGCCTCCCCGTTCCACGCCAAGCACCGAAACGCGAGCTCCGCCACCCGACGCATCGACTCCCGGGCCCACGCACCACCGTCCTCCGCCGCCGACATCTCCTCCTTGAGCGTCGGGTCCAAGATCACGTCTAACCGCCCCTTCCCGATCTTGTCGGCCGCTAGTGTCGCCAAATTCGCCTCCTCCATCGGTCGATCGAGGTCGACCGCCTGCATCCCCGTGATAATCTCCGCTAGGACCACCCCGAAGCTATACACGTCGCTCCTATCCGACATCCGGAAGCTCGTGTGGTACTGCGGGTCCACGTAGCCTGGTGTCCCCTGCGGCGTGGTCGACACGTGGGATGACGAAAACTCGCCGGGCCCGGGCCTCGAGAGCCCGAAGTCGGCCACCTTGGAACCGAACCGCGCGTCGAGGAGTATGTTGCTCGACTTGATGTCCCGGTGGTAGATGGGCCTCGGGCCTGCGCCGTGGAGATGAGCCACGGCGGAGGCCGTCTCGGCCGCGATGGTGAGGCGGACGGGCCACGGGAGCGGGGCCCGGTCTGACCCGGCCCGGAGGTGCTCGGCGAGGGTCCCATTGGACATGAACTCGTAGACGAGGGCGTGCTCGTCGTCCCGGTCGAGGGAGCATCCGAGGAGACGAACGAGGTTCGGGTGGCTCACGGACGAGATCAAACGAATCTCGTTGAGGACTTGCTCTGTGCAAGATGGGTCCCTCCGTTGGATCCGTTTGACCGCGACCCACTCGTCGTTGATTCTTCCCGAGTAGACGGTGCCATAGCCCCCGCACCCGAGCCTCCTTTTCTCGGAGAAGAAGTCGGTTGCTTTCTCGATCTCCGTGTAGGGGTAGATCGGGATTGTGATGCCAGAGGTCTCGTGTGGGTTTCGACGGGCGACTCTTCTGCTTCGGGTCGCCAGCTTGGACTTGTTACGGACGAGGCAGACGATTAGGCCGAGCATCACCATAAGGAAGGCGCCGACAGCTGCAGCTGTGGATTCGAAGAGTGTGGCTAGGATTTTCAGATTCATTTAAATAAGAAAAAAAAAAATTGAAAAAAGCTACTTGTACAATTCAATGACAACATGATGTGGCATAACGTGGGTGAGTTGAGATGATCGATCGGTATTGTTATGTACGTACCTCCGATCAAAATGACGATTCGTTTTGTTCCTCCGCACAGTCCCCATAAGAACTTAGACGG